ACATAGAAAAGTATGTTTGGAAATAAACAAATTCAATTACCTTTCTCCTGGGGATGAGGGGAGCATCATCATCATCATTATCCTACAAAGTGGGAGATGCTGAAACTGACCATTTGCGGCTTAAGGAACTTTTAACTGCAGTAGCCTTGACAGGTAGAGAAGCAGATGGATAGATAGAATGTTTAGCACGAGCAGGGGAAGTAGAGGGAGTGCCTGGCTCGTCCAGTAAATGGAAGGCACGATTAACATCAGTTGCAAACAATCAGCGATTTACTGATGGCCAAAGTTGTTCAAAAAGAGGATGGACAGCACGACTAGAATTGAAAAGGGCTAATGAAAACTTGCTCGTTAAAAGAATGTTGCGAGTATCTATAGCTTGTGCCTCTGCCCTATTAATGGTGTGAAAGCGGTCTGTCAAATTTTTAGAGTAACAAGGAGGGATAGGCCAAATTTGGCCAAAAGTAAGTTGGCGAGCAAAAAATTGGGGAGCATATATTTCAACTCCAGCTTAGGCATTGGTTTCAGTTAAGATATTGTGGAACAATTCCCTCTCAATCAAAAATTGAACCCAAACAAGCAGAGAGGCACTTGCACTGTCTAGGGTGGATGGAGGTTGCACATAATCTGGGGTCAAATGAGCAAGAAAAGGAAAGAAAGAAGGAATCAAATTTAATGAATAAAAGAATGAAAAAATGTCCCTACTGGACATATTTACAGGGGTCAGTGGATCAATGGCTAGCCCATAGCAGCTAGCAAAACGACTGGAAATGGATGGAGCACCAAGTGGTGGAAAATATGCTCTCAACCACAGCTGAGTGAACCAAAGGGGGCCACTGCCAGTGGGAGATGCACCATTCTTCAGTTGAAACTGAAGGGAAGCCATGCCTCTATAAAGGGCGGTTAGAAAGAAAGAACATAAGTTAAAAGGCCTACCACCCACCAATTCATGCGCTATGGGTAAGTAGCTCATAGAAGGTTTCATACTTGGCATGCAAAGAATATATTTACAAAGCCAAATCTGAAGGAAGGCCACACGCTCAGCATGGGAAGGTTCAGCGCTTGAGTGATTATAAAAGTTTTGTAGGCTTGAATAGGACTCAGTAAGTTTCTTGTCAAATTTCGAGGCAACACTGGAAATCAAAATACCAGGAAAGATGGTATCGCCCAAAGACGGAAGATTTACTAGGGTTCCAACGTCCCTTAGAGTAATAGACATGGGACCAAGAGGAAAAACAAAAGTGTTATACTTAGAAGACCAAAAACTCAAAGTAATAGGAAAAAGTACTGGGTCAAAAATTGGGGGTTGAAGAGTAATTTTTAATAAATCTAAAATCCTAGCACGATAAAAAATCGCCTTAGCAGGGCCATGATTCATAAGACGTCCATGCCATCTACGAAAAACAACATCAGCTTTGGGCCAAGTGCGAATACCTTTTTCGTGAATCGACCTCAATGGCAGAGAGTTCAGGAACGGAGGACCTTGAGTGCAAGGGAACAGCTGGCCCACCGCCACTTATCCGACGGCTTTGGTATTATTGAATGATGGACCTAAGTAGAATTCATTGAGGTCAGCACTAACTTGTGTAAGGAAGTTTGGATTTACATATGGCCTAGTAAGGAGTTTTTGAAAATCTTCGAAACTAAAGGAATCATCTGATTGAGTTTGTGAAGTCGCCTTTGGAAACAAAGTACAGTTTTGACAAGGTTTGCCTGGGTAATGTGGTAGAGAAGCAAGAAGATGAACAGTAAAATAGTGAGGAAGAAGCGCGAAATATAGACGTGGTTGAGTGGTGCAATGAAATGGCGTGTCCTTTTGGTTTATAAGGGTTTGAAACGTTGCACTTTTTCATATTTTAGAAGAAAATAATGATTGAAATTCTTGAGAATTTCAAATATTGCTGGAAAATACAAAGTGAATATGGCAAAGATTAATAATTAGTATTAATTCTGCCATATTGGGGGGTAATTGTAGATACACTAAAAGTGCAGCCCAAATCAAATAGCCCAAAGAGTGAAGCCCAATTGAGAATCCAGGATAAAGGTCCAAACAGGATTATTGATGAATGCGGTGGAAGCCCACGAACACGGTAACATTATCGCCTAAGCTTGCAAGATGCCCAGAATCTGAGCGAATAGCATACCTTACGGTCGCCCAGAGCGATGACCACGTTCTCGCCCAAACCTTCAAATCGCCCAAGATCTTAGCAAATATAAAACATTATAATTATCTAGAATAGCAGTTATTGAAACAGTTATTGAGTGGTCTTATCACATTCCACGAATCAAGGAGCACAGTTGAAGGCAGTTGAACGACAAAGAGTAATGACGACAGTTAGGGACGGTAGTTCCCCTACAAGTTAGCCACTATAAAGAAAGTGGGTAGTTATAAAGCAATCAAGTAGTTTCCAAGCAGTTGTCACAAAGAAATCATCAAAGGAATATAAAAGGAAGAGAAGACATAGAGAAAAGGAACCCCGGATCAAACACTCTCAAACAGAGAATATGTAATTTTGATTTCTTAGTTTAAACTTAAACATTTCTTTTAGCATTCGTGTACTTGCGCCCCTTGGAGGCATTCTGTTTAAGTTCCAATTGTAAATCATTGCCAATAAAACACTCCTTTTTGGGACTTTGTCTCAAGAGGTCTGTTCCTTCCATAATCGTCTAATCCCTTTTTTAATTGTTAGCGACTACCCGCGCGAAACAGACGGTGACACAATCAATTAAAGTTTGCATTTTTGAAAATATATATTTTTACCATTTACTTAAGTGCTTCCTACTGAGTATTATTAATAGTTCTCATCTTTACAAATAATTTTACAGGTTAAGATCGAAGCATGGCAGTGGTTGGCATAGTGGCAAGTGTTCGGCGATCTCTAATGCTTTCAATTTCTAGTAAATATTTCTATTTATGTAAACATTTTATGGATACTTAGATGACACTTTTTAGAAATGTTTTAACGTTTATTTTGTCTAGTTTCATAGACGATGCATGTTAACTAGAATTAGAGGTGGTGGATTGAATATGTATGAAGTTTAAATTTATGCTGGGTTAAATTTCAGATTCTATCTTCCTATTTGAAAATGGTATAACGTGGGCTACGTTGCATTTTTTAAGTGAAATCAGTAGGATTTGAAAGGTCTATAAGTCTTCTAATAGTGGCCTTTTGAATTTCTCAAAAATATTATCTAAAAAAAAAGTTATGCCCGTTTTAGTAAACTGCGTTGTGTCGAATTCGAGATTCCTGTCCAGCATATTCGAGCAATATTTTTGTGCTACAAACGTTATCGTCGAAATCCCAAATTTTTATTTGTGGTACATATATGAATGCTTTAGTCCATGAAAAAATTTCATAAATTTTAATAGACATTTGTTAGGTCAAATATATTTTCCTTCCGCTGTTGTTAAATCCGTAATTGTCGATTTGCCTTCAAATCTTTTACAAAAATCAAATTTTGCTACATTTGCCTAACTTTATAGGGATAACTACCTTCCGTTATATTTTTATATATTAAAAAAAATTTTGGATTTATAAAATACTTTGGCTAGCATCAAAGGGGTCAAACCAAAGAAAGAAACGAATATTATTTTAACGCTTCGGGTTTCGAGAATTCGGGACGTTACAACTTGGTATCAGAGCCTAGGTTTATTTTTCTGCAGACTTGCAATAGAAACTATATCTTAGGAGTGTTGTGTCATATATAAAGTTGAAAAAAAAAATTTTGAGGATCCTGAGCACTATGCCGCCATAGACGCGCCATGCCAATTTTGAGGTAAAGAAAGTTTTATGATTATGCTTGTATCTATGTGATGATTATGGAATAGTTATTTCAGATACAACATTTGAAATGTATTTATGAATATTAATATATGTTTGAGTTGAATACCTATTGTGAATAATCATTATTTTGCAAAGTATTTTGAGAACGTGACCATATTAAATGTTTATTAAGTCCTGGAGAATTAACTAAAACCTATTAGGTACCCACTAATTGGACTTTGAATAACTGGTAGGAAGATGAGTTCATTGATGCGTCGTCGATGTGAAATCATGAGACAGTATGAAGAGTACAGGTGGAATCCAACACACAATATGCGTGAGCACATTTGGGAGATGCTTGTAAGGTGGAGAGAGGTGAGACAACTAGGCTATATGGTCACTGGTCGTCGAGCCACCCGCCTTCTTATTGATACCTTGCCAGAAGAGTGGCTGGAGACTGTCGAATCGATTTATGATTATTTATGGGGTATTGTTGTGCCTACTTTGCCTCGAGAGATTAACTATGAGGCCTTTTGCATGGAGCTGATTGATCGGTGAGAGTTGGCCCGACTCGCGATCCCTGAGGATGATAGTGTACCTACTGAGATGTACATTCATGATGATGCACCACCACGTATTTCAGACAACGAGGCACAACCTTCTAAGAAATCTAGGGTTTATGGAGGCTGGATTAGTGACGACGATGAATAAAGAATCAAAATTTTAGTAGATTTTATTAGGTTTAATTGTTGTTGATGTCTAGTAGGATTCCCTTTGTTTTTCCCGCTGAATAGCGTCAGACGCTCTGTAATTGCTTTGTATTCCCGTTAAAGGATTCTACTTAGATGATAATAAAAGATTTTAAGCTATAAATCTCTTCCCTATATTGTGCAAGTACTGTCTACTTCTCTGAATGAGATTACATTTATGATGGTATATAGGACTATGGCGTGAGCAAGGACAATTAAGGAATTAAGGCGAGAGATTGATGAGTTGAAACAGGCCCTAGCTGCTCAGGTTGCGCCTTCAGCTCCACCAATCCCACCAGCACCTCCAGTGCCATTAGCATATCCACATATACTGTCTATTCCGACGGTAGAATAGTTTTGCAGATATCCACCTCCTACCTTTGATGGAGGGAAAAACCCTCTGACAGCTGAAGAGTGGTTGCGTGCTATTGAGAAAATCTTTCGGCACATCTCTTATCCAGAAAATCAAAAAGTATTATGTGCTGAGTTTATGCTAGTTGGAAGAGTAAGCCATTGGTGGGAATCCTCATCACGTACTCGCACCGAGAAGGAACAACGTAATTTAACTTGGGACCAGTTCAAAATGGAGCTAACGGAGAAGTTTTTTCCACAAGCTCTACGAGACTATAAGGAGGCAGAATTTTTAAGATTGGTACAGGGAGATATGGAAATTTTCGAGTATGAGAGCAAGTTCGAGGAATTGTCTCGATATGCCTCACATCTTGTAAGTACTGAGCTAATGAAGGCAAAACGTTACGAGAGGGGCCTGTACCCAGAGATCAGGCAGATTGTGAGTTCACACGATCTCACCACTTTTCAGGAAGTTGTGAAGAAAGCTCAAATAGTAACCTATTCGGAGATGAAGTTGATAATTCAGGGACAGCGTAATGACTTTGGAAAAAGGAAGTGGCAGGATAAGAATAAAAATTCTGGACAGTTTAAGAAGCGAACACTTGTGGGCCAGTCAAGTAATCCTCCATCCCAATGTTCTAAATGTAACAAGTTTCACAGAGTAGAATGTCTGTATGGAAAGTATACTTGCTATAAGTGTGGCCAACCTGGCCACGTGGTTTTCTCATGTCCATCGATTAAGAAACCCGAACAAGAGAAGAAAGGAAAAGCAAGGGTGTTTGCTCTGACTCACGATGAGGTTGCCCAAAATTCGGAAGTAATCGCAGGTATTTTATCCATCTTTGGAATTCCGGTTTATGTCCTTATTGATTCCGGTGCAACACATTTGTTCATATCTAATGAATGTTTAGCTAAGATTAATGCTTCATGTAAGAATAATGATAATGTACTAGAGGTTAGTATGCCATCAGAAGGAACTATTGATACAGATAGGATAGCGACGGGGGTACAAATAAATTTTGATGGACTGATGTTAGAAGCCGACTTGTACGTTATAAAGATGAGAGACTTTGATATTATTTTAGGCATGGATTTGTTAGGTAAAAATCGAGTCACGATAGTATGTTTTGAGAAAGAGGTGATTTTTCAAAGATCGGGAGAAGAGGAATTCAGATTTTATGGGTCGAAAGTTAAGGCACTTCCTCGCGTCATCTCAGCTTTGAAGGCAAAAAGTATGTTGAGGAAGCCTGACTGCCAAGGGTATCTTGTCAGTCTTATCGGCACCTCATCTCAAGATAAAATATTGAATGATGTGCCAATATTACGGGAGTATGCTAACATGTTTCCCAATGATCTACCGGGTATTCCGCTCAATAGACAAGTGGAATTCACGATAGATTTGGTACCTGAAGCTACTCTTGTGTCTAAAGCTCCATATCGAATGGCACCAAAGGAATTACAAGAGTTAAAAATGTAGCTAGAAGAACTTCTAGACAAAGGGTTTATTAGACCGAGCGTATCTCTATGGAGAGCTCCGGTACTCTTTATAAAGAATAAAGATGGTACTATGAGGTTGTGCATCGACTACAGTGAATTGAATAAGTTGACGATCAAAAATAAGTATCCTCTTCCTAGGATTGAAGACCTATTTGATCAGTTGAAGGGCGCATCCTTATTCTCAAAAATTGATTTAAGGTCGAGCTACCATCAACTGAAGATTAAGTTGGTCGATATACCAAAAACGGCATTTAGGACTCGGTATGGGCATTATGAGTTTACAGTGATGCCCTTTGACTTGACGAATGCCCCTACGATGTTTATAGACTTGATGAATAGAGTGTTCCATCAGTATTTGGACATGTTTGTCATCGTATTTATTGACGACATACTGATATATTTGAGAGATTCCCTGCAACACGAAGAACATTTGAGGATAGTTTTGGGAACCCTGCGTCACGAAAAGTTGTATGCCAAATTCAAGAAATGTGAATTTTGGCTTGATCGAGTGGGATTTCTAGGCCATACTGTTTCAGCACAAGGAATTGAAGTGTATCAATCCAAAGTGGAGGCCATAACAAATTGGCCGAAACCTACAAATGTTGGAGAAGTGCGGAGCTTTCTAGGGTTAGCTGGCTATTATCAGTGATTTATAGAAGGATTTTCCAAGATTGCAGGTCCTATGACACAGTTGACTCGAAAGGGTACTAAGTTCATATGGTTGGAGAAATGTGAACAAAGTTTTCAAGAGTTAAAAGATAGGCTCGTATCTGCGTCGATTTTGACTATTCTCGATGGTTCAGAAGGTTTTATGATTTACAGTGATGCATCCAAGCTTCATTTAGGATGTGTTTTGATGCAACATAGAAAAGTGATAGCTTATGCTTTGAGGCAGTTGAAGCAATATGAACAGAATTATCCCACGCATGACCTTGAACTAGCAGCGGTAGTGCACGCCTTGAAGATTTGGCGCCACTACCTATATGGGAGCAAGTGTGAGATCTATACTGATCATAAGAATCTCAAATACTTCTTCACCCAAAAGGAGTTGAATATGAGATAGCGACGGTGGTTAGAATTAGTGAAAGATTACAACTGCACTATCCTGTACCATCCGGGTAAAGCTAATGTAGTTGCTGATGCACTGAGTAGAAAGAACATGAGACAGTTATCAGCACTATGTATAAGACAGGATCATTTAATAAGAAATTTTGAAAACCTGAGAATTGAAGTATTAACGTCACCAGTAAGGACATCGGCGAAGTTAGCAAGTTTTACTATGAAATCGACACTCAGGGACAGAATAATAGTCGCTCAGAAAGATGATCCTTTTTTGGAAAATATCAGATGCAGAAACTGAGAAGAGGAAGTGATTTGAAATAGCCGAAGACAAAGCCTTGATGTTTAAGGGTCGATTGTGTGTGCCAAAGGATGAAGCATTGAGAAATGAAATTATGACCGAGGCTCACTCAACTCCTTACGTCGCCCACCCAGGCGAAACTAAAATGTATCGGGATTTGTGTAATACATTTTGGTGGAGAAATATGAAGGAAAAGATAGCTATGTTTGTGTCCAAATGCATGGTTTGCCAACAGGTGAAGGTTGAACATCAGAGGCCGTCGGGACTGTTGAATCCCATGGACATACTTGAATGGAAGCGGGAAAAGATTGCAATGGATTTTGTCATTGGGTTTTCTAGATCAGTGAAAGGTCATGATGCGATCTGGGTAATTGTGGACCGATTTACAAAATCTGCTCAATTCTTGCCAGTTCGGACAACCTACAGCTTAGAATAGCTTGCACAAATTTATGTCAGGGAGATTATGCGACTTCATGGTGTTTTGACTTCTATCGTATCAGATAGAGACCCAAGGTTTACTTCGAAGTTTTGGATAGCTCTTCAGAAAGCTATGGGTACCAAGTTAACATTTAGTACTGCATATCATCCTCAAACTGACGGACAATTTGAACGAACTATACAAGTTCTTGAAGATATGTCGAGAGCTTGTGTCCTAGATTTGGGTGGTAAATGGGAAGATCATTTGCCGTTGGTTGAATTTGAATACAACAATAGCTTTCAAACCACTATTGGCATGACCCCGTATGAGGTTTTGTGTGGTAAACGATGTCGTTCGCCATTATTCTGGGATGAAGTTGGTGAAAGGAGAATTTTGGGCCCAGAGTTGGTCGAGAAGACTATGGAGGATATATATAAAATTAGATCAAGAATTAAGACTGTCCAAGATCGTCAAAAGAGTTATGCTAACAAAAGGAGAAAAGAATTAACTTTCGAGATTGGAGAGAGTATTTCTCAAAGTGGCACCAATGAAGGGAATACTACGATTTGGAAAGAAAGGGAAGCTAAGCCCTAGATTTATCGGTTCATTTGAGATTCTTGAAAAGATTGGGAATGTGGCATATCGATTAGCATTGCCACTCGAGCTTTCAACAGTGCACAACGTATTTCACATTTCTATGTTGAGAAAGTACATTTCGGATCCTAATCATGTGGTAAATGCTCGATCACTGGATGTACGGAGTGATATGACATACGAAGAAGCTCCTGCAGTGATCCTGGAAAGAAAGGACCATGTCTTGAGAAATCGAAAGGTTCCACTAGTCAAAGTCCAGTGGAGTAAATATGGTGAGGATGAGGCTACTTGGGAACGAGAAAAGGACATTTTAGCCAAGTACCCCGATCTCCTTAAAACAAGTAAGTTAAATTTCGAGGACGAAATTATTTTAAGTGGGGAGAGTTGTAGTGATCGAAAAAAAATGTTTTGTTTCGTTCCAAAATAAAATTATAGTACTCAAATATAATTTGGGTTATATTATTACGTCGCTATGACACTTCCTTAATAGTTCAAATTAAAGTTTTGGTCATGATAGTAAAGTTTCGCGTACTTGTTTTTTAAAAAAATAAAAATTTGTAAGGTGTCAAAATTTCTTTAGACGACAAATTTTATTTGTTACTTTGTTTTGACGACACACATTTTATTGTATATCCATTAAATCTTTAAAAGTTAGATTAGAAAACCTATTGTATAGTGCATTAACCATCCCAACTTACCTTATTATTTAAACCCCATTTTTTATTAGCCATAAAAAAAATAAAAAAATAAAAAAAACTGCCTTTTGGTTATTGGGATGATAACCTACACGTCCCTATCCAATTCCATTTGGAAGTTAAAATTTCAATCATCCATTTCCTCAAGTGTAACCTCCAATTTTAAATACAACTCCCACCACCATTGCAATTGAAAATTTGTAACTCCCATTTTAAATTTCTACACGGCCACACCATGAGAAAAAAAAATACAGAAACATGTCCCTTTTTAGTTTTACAAGCCATATTGGATTGTGAAAGCCAAATTTCACCTCCTTTAACCGCATAAAATTATTTTACCCTTCTTCCCTAGACATAAAGCATCTTATATCTAAAAAATTTTATTTGAAGAAAAGGCAAGGAAGTACACTGTATTTTTACTTTTTATTGAACGCAAAACGGTATTCAAATTCCAAGCATTAAGGTAGGGGTGTTTCGGTGCTTTTGTAAGTGATGAAAGACTTATATGTTTTCGTTTGTATTAAACTTACTATTGTTTTGCTCATGATGAAATCACCATTTGGTGGTTTAAACAAGAGATGAAGAAATGATTATGATAAATGAAATGGGGTTATCAAAACCTACAAGTAAGCGGACTTGACTAATCACCAATTCGCTTGAAATTGACGGTGACACAATCAATTAAAGTTTGCATTTCTGAAAATATATATTTTTACCATTTACTTAAGTGCTTTCTACTGAATATTATTAATAGTACTCATCCCTACAAATAATTTTACAGGTTAAGATCACGGCATGACAGTGGTTGGCCTAGTGACAAGTGTTCAGCGATCTCTAATGCTTTCAATTTCTAGTAAATATTTCTATTTATGTAAACATTTTATGGATACTTAGATGACACTTTTTAGAAATGTTTCAACGTATATTTTGTCTAGTTTCATAGACGATGCATGTTAACTAGAATTTAGAGGTGGTGGATTGAATATGTATGAAGTTTGCTGGGTTAAATTTCATATTCTGTCATCCTATTTGAAAATGGTATAACTTGGGCTACGTTGTATGTTTTTAAGTGAAATCAGTAGGATTTGAAAGGTCTATAAGTCTTCTAATAGTGGCCTTCTGAATTTCTCAAAAATATTATCTAAAAAAAAGTTATGCCCATTTTAGTAAACTGCGTCGTGTCGAATTCAAGATTCCTGTCCAGCATATTCGAGTAATATTTTTGTGCTACAAACGTTATCGTCGAAACCCCAAATTTTTATTTGTAGTACATATATGAATGCTTTAGTCCATGTAAAAATTTCATACATTTTAATAGACATTTGTTAGGTCAAATATATTTTCCTTCCGCTGTTGTTAAATCCGTAATTGTCGATTTGCCTTCAAATCTTCTACAAAAATCAAATTTTGCTACATTTGCCTAAGTTTATATGGATAACTACCTTCCGTTATATTTTTATACATTAAAATAAAAACTGGGTTTATAAAATACTTTGGCTAACGTCAAAGGGGTCAAATCAAATAAAGAAACGAATATTATTTTAACGCTTTGGGTTCCAAGAATTCGAGACGTTTGGGTTTCGAGAATTCGGGGCGTTACATATTGGGAGGCAACCCAAGCTTTCTTTCTTTTTATTTATTTATTTTATTTTCAAATTATAGGAGAGTTTAATTTATTTCCTAGTCTATTTAGGAGTCATTGAATAATTAAGTTGGTTATTAAATGTTTGAGCTAAGTAACCCTTGTTCCATGAGTTTAATTTTTCAATTTTGATTTTTAAGGAATACGATGTCACAGAATACTCAAACCAACATCGATATGGAGAAAAGTGAGACAAAACTCAAGTTTGGGGGTTAAATATGGAAAAAGAATTGATCAAATGCAACACAAAGGTACCACAAAATTATAGGCA